CCGAGTTCATGGCCATTACCGAGGCATTCAAGGAAGCAAAGTGGATCAACGGTCTAGTGGGTAAGTTTAGTTCATATTCAAGCTTGGTGTCCGTGTTTGGTGATAGCCAAAGTGCAATTCACTTGGCTAAGAACCAAAACACATTTTACAAAAGAACCAAGCACATTGATGTTAAAAAGAACTTCGTTCGAGATGTGATTGCAAAGAAAGAGTTACTCTTGAAGAAGATTGGTACGTACCGAGGAGAATCCCGCGAACATGTTGACAAAGCCTTTGCCAACTACTAAGTTCACTTTGTGTGTGGACTTACTTGGTCTCTCTAAATGTTCGACGTAAGCCCGTGAGGGCTTATTAGGGGAAGGTATGTTACTATTTATGTTTCGGAGACTAGTTGGTTACTACTTGGAGTTATATACACCATAAGGTACTAAAGTTTGGAAAATGTATCACTTAGGGTACTGAACCTTCGAATGTATCAAAGAGAGTACTCTAACGGTGACCGGAGGTAAACTATCCGGTTCTTACCTATTTTAGCCGATTAACTTCTTTGAAAAAATCTTTTTTTGTGTCAGCAAAAGGTCTCGTAAAACAAAATGCCATCATTCTTGTTTTTCTCTCTCATCCCCTTCCTTCAATCTTTCTCTTTCCTTCTTTCATGGTTGGAAGTTGGAAGACCTTTCTAAACACTTCCATGGCCATAGTCCCACAACCACAATGAAAATTTATTAATTCAACTTCAATGACAATTTATATAATAATATCCATATAAAAGCAATCAAGTCAAATTCAATAATAAGAGCAAATTCTTTTATTAGAGAAAATTTAACAACTAGCAATCATGTCAAATTTTACAATTAGAGAAAAACCCCCACCCCCATTTAAATACATTCCGCACCCTCGCCCACCACCGGCCGCCGACTTTTCTCTCCCCCCTTGTTAGTTGACTCCCCTGCCATCACAACCCAAAATATCCCCTGCTTCACCCTGCATCACCAATCCCAACCCCTCCTTTAAACTCCCCTGCTTTTTCCCTGCACGCCACAACAAACAAGCAGCAACCCCACGCCAACAACCATTCACATCAAATCAGCCACCGCAAAAAGCCGCCTCAACAATCACCAACACCTAGCAACCGCCGGCAGCAACCTCCAAATCAGAACAGCCGAGAAAACCACCATACCCACCTCGAATTCCCACCCTAACTGGTAGGAAGTGGTGGGGGTTGTTCTTCGGTGGGGAGGGGGATTTTTAAAAAAAATTAAAAGGAGATACAATTTGAAGTAGATGATAAAAAAAATACCCAAAATTGTAAGGAGGGGCAGAAGAAAGAGAAAGAGAAATCAGAGGAGCGGAAGAAGGAGAAAGACAAAGTTCAGTACCTTCCTATTAAATATGTCAGAATTTTAATTTCCTTTTTTTTATTTATGTGTTAAGCGGTTGCTATTGGTAAGAAAGTTTAGTAATCTACTGGAAGTACTCTATTTGATACAATCAAAAGTTCAGTACCTTTCCAGATACAAATGCTAAAGTTTAGTACTCTTTGGTGCATATCACTCTTATTACTTGTTATGAGGAAATGTGTAGGATTACGAGTCAAGGTGGAGAATTGTTAATGTGTGACTCAAAATCGAGGTTCGATTACGACAAGATCGAAGAGGATGCAGTAAAGTTGTACATGTGATGACTAGTCTAAGTCATGCATGTCATGATGACTTTAGTGTTATGATAATGCCTAGTAGTCTAGTCTTGCATGTCATGATGACTTAGGGTCATGATGACTTAGGGTCATGATGATGCCTAATAGTCTAGTCTTGCACGCAATGATGTCTTTAGTGTCATGATTACTTTATCAACTATAAAGGCACATGCAAATATGGTGACATAGGTGCCTTGTATCTTTCCTCTTCTTAAGCCACAATGATGTTGTGTGGATGTGGAACATCACGTAGTGTATTAGCACACATAGCTTCATCACTTGTAATCTTAGTAATTCCTTTCTTCCATTGAAGTTGGTAATAAAAGCTTGATCTCCCTTCCCCTAAAGTGGACGTAGCTCATTTTGAGTGAACCACTATAAATCTTGTGTGTTTTATTTTGTTTATTTTTAAGTGCTTTCTCAATTCAACTTGCATTGTTATCACAATCAAATTCAAAATCCCAAATCGCTCCTATTTCGTAACATTTTGGTATGTATGTGTGGAACATGACGGTGGAATGATATGGCATAGCTGCCTCGAGTTTTCTAGATTGCAGCAAAGATCAAATCTATTGTTCAATTTTGTGATTTTTTATAACTATATATGTTATGGTGTAGGTTATTTCAGCTGTCTACAGAAATGTCAGGAAATTAATGCAGACAAGTATGAAGTTGCCCACGTAATTAGCAAACTGATCAACATTCTTTCTCTCCTGGAAACAATATAGCAACATTCATAGAAGACATCAACACGTTGTTATATATTTGGGTCCGCTAGAATTTTATGAATGGTTTCATAGCTATATACATATTAGGAAAAATACACTTTAATAATCTCAAATATGGGCGATTTACTTTTAATAATCTCAACTAAGGTTTATTATCTAATAATCCCAACTACGGGGTCACTTTACCACTCAACCGGTCGACAAGTGGTCAAGAACCTTTTATTATAGGTTACCAAGACACAAATTAATTAAAAAAAAAAAGAAAAAAAACCCAAAAACCCTAATAGCCACCTTCCCCCTCCCCTTCTTCCACCGTGACACCCAAAACTCAAACCCTAGCCTATCGGAAAACGGCCGGCCGCCTTCCTAACCCCCGAAAACGACCGACCAACCCCTCCCAACCACCGAAACGACCTTAGCCGGCCCACCCGCAATCCCAAACCACCGTCCTCCCTTTCCCCGCCCTCAAAAAACCTCCTCTCGTTTCCCTTACCGTCGAAACTGGTCCTCATCCCTTCCCCAATCCCCGAAAATGGCCCCTTGGACGGTTTCGTGGGTGGGGGAGGGAGGGAGAGCGACATTTAAGGTTTTTTTTTTCATTTTCCAGCGAGGGGGAGGGGATGGGAAGGGGTGGTTTAGGGGGTGGGGGTGGACCGACTGGTTTGTTTCGGGAGTAAGGAGGATCGGCCGACCATTTGCAGGGGTTAAGGGAGGTCGCCAGCCAATTTTCCGGTGGCTTGGGGTTGGGCCATAGAGTCTCACCGTGGAGGGATGGGGGGAGGCAGGTTGCTAAATGGGTTTTGGGGTTTTTTTTTTAAATTTTTTTTATTTTGGAGCAATTACATACTGACACGTGGATTTTTTTTTATTTTTTTTAAAAAATTACCCTTTTAGCAGGTTATCGGTCATTGTGACTACTAGAGGCAAACTGACCCCATAGTTATGGTTATTAGATAATAAACCTTAGTTGGGATTATTAGAAGTAAATTGCCCATACTTGGAATTATTAAAGTGTATTTTTCCTATATACTATTTAGTATATTTGGGTTTCAAGACATTGTAATACTTTTATATCCTTATTAATTTCAGGCTTAAATTATGATAAATTCGCTGTTTCGGATTTAGTTTAAATAGGACAATGAGGGCGAGTTTATTATATAATGTCGTTCTTAATTATGGGCAAAGAGGGCAAATTGTTTACCTAAGAGGACGAATTTTAAGCAAAGAGGGCGAAAATAACGGTTGCTCTTGAGATGTTATAGAGGTCGCTTGATTATAGTCAAAGAGGGCAAAAATAATTACCTCTCTGACCATACGCAAAGAGGGTGAAAAAATCTTTATTGCCCTACAAGTCTATAAAAGGGTGAGATTTGGATCTACAAATCTAAATCGCCCTCTTTGGCTTATATTTTGTAGTGTCCTTGGAATCATGAGCCTTTTTTTTTTCTTTTTTCTTTTTTTTTTTTTTTTTTTTTTTTTGAGGAAACAAGCCTTTGTTGTTCCATCCCTCCATATATAGGCAAAACCAATTCCCTATGTGTTACTAAGAAAAGAGGCATTGGTGTTTATTTTTAGGAAAGGAGTTTGGGGTGGTGACCACGGGACAGATTTCTGAGAGGGCTTTAAGTTGTTTACGAGTTGGTTTGTAGAGTAGAACCAGCCCAAATGCTACGTGTGTACATCATTCTTCTTATCAAAGAGAATTTTCCAAACTTTCAATATATCTTATGTATAAAATAAATTAAAATTTTCAATAAATTATAAAATTATAAAATAAATATAAAATTTAAAATTTTTTTTTTTGACAAGGGTTAAAATTTTAATTTTCTTATAATTAATTTTAACTATATAATTATAAAAATAAATATAAAATAAATAAATTACATAATTATAAAATAAGTATGTTTTTTGAAAGAAATTAAATAATAAATATAAAATATATAATTATGTATAAAGTATAAATCAGCTAATTTTATTCGTTTAAAAAATGGTTCAAAACAAGATCCGATGGATTTTTATATTGTTTGTAGATTCCAAAACTACTAACAGCTATTAAGAACGATAATGATATTTTTGTATTTCACATATTGTTGAGAGTAATCATTAATTCATGCTCAGTAGCAGATTGATATAATGACTTAGATATCATCTTACTACTAAAACTATACAGTACAAAGTATAACGTGGTTTCTCAAATACAGAATATATTTCAATAACATACATCTTTCCGACGTATATCACTCATATTCCTAATTCAAACGGCTGCAATTTAAAAAAAAATAAAAAAATAAAATAAAATAAAAAATAATGGAGTGAGTATTTTCATGACGCTTTATGTATGTGTTATAAAAAATATCGTTATTCTTAATTCTTCTTAAGAAATGTGTCGGATGGAAGTAGTAACTTTAATTCAGAATGAATGGAGTATTTTGTTAACAGCAACTCCTAATACAGCATTGATGATGTTTTTGCTATATAGTTAATTAGTTACCAGTCCAGTAGTGGCAAGATTTCTAACATATTTGAAAAAACTTGGACTAAGCTTTATTTAACAAATACTACGTAAAAAGAGAGACTGTTTAGAAGTCATAGAAGATAGAACAATGTATGGTCAATATATACTCATCTGAGTATTATAATGTAGAAAATAAATCTTAGCTGAGTTCTATTACTCTGAAATAGGCAGATTGTTCATAACTTTTGAAGGAAGGCAGAGTGAGAAAGGTCTTATGCTAGGTACTAAACCATTTCGCCATTAACACGGGTGTTAGTTAATTCGTCGGCATGATCACCTCTTTCAAAAACAGCTGCAGCACCCATGCCACTACCTATAAGTTCAGTAAACAATTTATGAGAGATAATTTGAGGTTATTTTAGTAGCTTCAACTTTACAAAATTAGATTAGCTTCTATGTTGCACACATCAGTGTTGAGAGAGAGAGAGAGAGAGAGAGACCTATACACATGGAAATGACTCCAAAACGGCAATCCCTTCCTCGACGTTTCATCTCATTAAGTAAAGTAGCTACACACCGGGCACCTAAAAAAAGAGCAAAGTAGGAATTGAGTACAACAATACACTAATCATCAAGGCCTTGTTCTTGTCTACCTTATTTTAACAGATTAAAACTAATTTCACGCACCAAAATCAGATTTTGATTTCTGCTTATAACCGGATTTTACAAAGTATAACTGATTTTTGCTGATATAATCCTTTCCCACCCCCCCCCCCCCCTCCAACACCCAAACAGTGCCTAACTCACTCAATAAGCATTTTCTAGTAAACAAAAAATACCTGTAGCTCCCAAAGGATGTCCGAGGGCTATTGCTCCTCCATTAACATTAACTTTCGCTGGATCGAGGTTCAGCTTTTTACAACAGTAAACGTACTGTGATGCAAAGGCCTGCATTAAAAATGGATTTTTCAAATTTGAGAAATGGTGTTGAAGTCACCAACCGAAAATATGAGGCAGCTTGTTCAGAGGGCTAACCTCATTTATCTCAAATAGATTGATATCGTTAACCTTTACCCCGGCAGATTTCACAGCAGCAGGAATGGCAAAAGCTGGACCAATCCCCATGACAGCAGGATCCACACCAACAGCAGCAAAGCTCCTAAAACACAGGATAGAACTGAAAATCAAGAACTAGAAATTTCAAACATGCATCCAATAAGATACATTGTTGTTTCTGATTTAGTTTACATGGGTTGACCTGATGAGAAGGATATCTTCTGTCAACTTCATAGGTAGTACCAAACTAATGTCTACAGTTTAATTACATTGCCAGAATCTCAGTTCGAATGTCTAATTTTGAATCACAATTAAGAAACAGTCTCGAGTGAGAGGAAAAAAAAAAAAAACAAGTACTTCACCCTCCTATACAGAAAATTCTATTATACCACGAAATATGAAAGAAGAAACTAAGGATGCTGGATGCATAGGTTAGCTGTTAGTTACAAAATGGACGAATATTTAACCACACAGATAACAATCAAACACTTGAAATCCCAAAACAGAAACAGACACAAACACAAACTAAAACCAAAAAAAAAAAAAAAAAAAAAAAAAACAAGGAAATTGGCACATACAAGTTTCAAGAGGTCTAGAAAGTAAGTTTGCTCAGCTTTTAGCAATAAGAAATTCAGATGGAAAGGGTTGAGTAATTAACAAGAATTATCTGCAATCAGAAATTCCAAGTTTCGCCAACAAATTGTAACACTTGTATGCATTGAAAGAATTACAATAACTGGTATAATTTTGCTGCCATTCCATCTTACACGGCATTTTTGTTTAGCTTCCATTGACGGTTTTAAAACGAACTTACCTAAATACACCAAGAATTGGAAGCCCTTTTTACGTTGCTAAACTCCTCTTCATGAGGAGCACTGCTCCAGCCCCATCACTCACCTGGCTAGAATTACCTAAGAAAATGGCAACAACAGATCAGGTAAAAAATCACAATTTACTTCATCCATAATTGACCCCTACATAAGGTCCAATCTCACAAACCAGCTGTTGAGGTGCCATCCTTTTTAAAAGCAGGCTTCAGCTTTGCCAAATCTACCATGTTAGAGCTTGCCCGAATTCCATCATCAAGAGAAATAGTTACATGTTTTTCTTCTCCAGTTTTTGGATCCACAATCTAGACAATAGAATAAACAAATAAGCAACTACACACATTATCTTGAAAGACAAAGAAGCTTCATCTCTATTACATACTACCTTTGTTGAAACTGGTACAATCTCTTCTTTGAATTTTCCAGATGCTGTGGCTGCTGCAGCTCGCCTATGAGATTCCACCTGTGACACATAAAATAAGTTACATTAATAATTTGATATTTGTGACTTTTAAGAGATGCAACAAGCTTAAAGCATGCATAAATGGAACTTACTGCCGCCTGGTCTTGTTCTTGTCGCGTCACACCATAACTTTGTGCAACATTCTCTGAGGTTATACCCATAGGAAGAAGGCAATCTCTTGCTTGTGTAAATTTTTCTACCTGTAACAAAGATTTCCAAGACTTTTGATACTTAGCAAATTCAGCTGTGCTTCATAATTACTTAATGTGCCGAAAAATATATATCGAAAAGTACTTTTGGGTTAATATGACGAGGCCTATCAACACGATCAATTGTCATTGACTCCACTCCAGCTCCTATTCCTGTATGCATATAACAAAAAAAAAATGTTTCATACTGCAGAAGATTACAATCTAATCAAGGCAGGGTGGGATTCAACAGTAAATTAGATGTTCCATACCACAGAAGGTTAAATGTTTCATACTGACCTATGTCATAATATCCTGCCTTTATGCAGGCAGCAACATCAGCAACTGCTTGAAGACCAGAGGAACATTGCCTGTTCACAGTTCTGATGGGCACTGTGTCTGTAACAAAACTAAATAGGATTAACAATCCGAAACTATAATTAATTACAATTCTCATTAAAGACAGTTTCAAATGACGGTTCATGTTATCCAACCCCAGATCCTTCTGGGTTACGCCTTTCTCGTTGTTGTAGTAGTATACTAGTAATAATATTAAACAGGTAATTAAGCATCTCAATGTAATCTTGCATCTTCTCTCAACTTGTGCATGTTCATGAAAAACATTATAAATGAACAGGATTCAGCTTATGGGTGTATATGACAACTTTTTTGGATGTGCAAAAAATAGCTTCTAGATAAAATGACTTGTTGATGTACAATAATAACCTATGGTATGCACATGAAACGATGCAAATTTTTTGGTTATACAAGATGATTTGTAACTGCAGGGAAGTGTAATAAACTAACCTATAGAGGGGCTAGTATTATTAGGTCAATAGTCTTCAGTTTATTATAAATAGAGAGAGAGAGAGAGAGGGGAAAGGTAGAGGCAGGCAGAGTTTGGAGCGAATCCTTGCGAGAGTTGTGACCTCAAGTCACTAGTGGAGACACTGGAGAGTGGTAGGCTAAACCTACCAATTTTGTAAGAAACCTTTCAGCAATACTAATCAGAGTTCAACTCTTTCTATTAATAACTTTGTGCATTTGTTGAGTGAAACCTGCTGTTCTTCGAGTCCATTACAGGAAGGTGTACAAGGAAGACATATCAGAGGTACCATGCTTTTCAAATGTCAATTTGGAATTCAAGACAGTCTTAAAGGCCTAGTATAATTTTCATCAATTTTTTTTTTTCTAGTCATCTCAGAAATTCAGAGGTCTAAAGTGTTTTCGTGAAGAATATGGTTTTAAAGAGACTTAAAACACGGTTTCAGCAGAAGTAGAAACAAAACCTCAGCAGGCAAGCGTTTTAACGCACTAACCTGGAAAACCGGCATAGAATGCTGCCATCCGGCATTCTATAGCTCTTTCAGAGCCTGCGGCCAAAACTGTACCCACCACAATATCCCCTACCTCACCTGGGTTTACTTTTGTCTTCTCTATCAATCCCTGTAGTGAATTTTGACAGCTTATGGTCAGAAATCCTTCACAAAATTTTATCTCAACAAGGTTTTTCTACAAGTAATATACCTTTAGAACAGCAGCAAGTAGATCATCTGCAAGTGTGTCCTTGAAACCACCACGTTTTGCTTTACAGATTGCAGTTCGACAAGCACTGTTCAGTGAAATGAAGTGTAAGTCTCTTCCAAATAACAGAAGAAAGAAACAGACAACATTTCGACCATAATTTTTCTAATGGTGCATTCTGCAAAATAAAGCCTACACTAGAACTGAAATTTTTAAGTTCTTAAACCATTTAACATTCCCAAACGAAAAGATGATCATATATGCATCAAAAACCTTAAGTTATATAAATAGGCAACATATGTGATACATTTTCCACCAACAACCAAGACCAATGATTGGTTTACTTACGCAACAATTACTATATCATCTCCAAAAGCAGCATTTATTGGATAAATCCCTCCATCTCCAGAAGAGCAAACCAAAGGCTAGTTCATAGATCACCCACCATGGTAAAAACAAAACGTAAATCAAGTTAATTTGAGTTCTCAAAAGAGGAATTGATGCAAACACATCAGACCAAACCAAAATTATGAAAATAAGTTCAACTTGTTACCATCAAATGGGTAACTTTCTATTTTGTTTTAATCATAGCATCACAAGTTTGGTTATGTACATGGAGCTTTAGAAAACATACTCAAATCATCTATGCTAATTTTTATTAGTAAATTCACATAAACTTAAAAACATTTGGAACAAACTTTTTGTTTAGCAGCTTTCAACATCCCTGAAGTCATTAACTATAGAATAATAGAATGTTTCATGCAGTTATGCAAGCTCTGACTCTTCCTATCTAACCAAAATGACAATTATCAGTCTATCATGAGAATAGGAAATAAGGTTTAACAACATAGACTTTAATTCTAATCATTTGTACTCCATTTTTTTTTAATGTAGACAAAATTCAATTTCGTGTCTTGGGTGCCGCCTCTAAACTTTAACCAACTAAGTTAATTGGGATTAATAGTACTTCCTCAATTTTACCAACTAAGCTAATACTTCGTAGATGCTTTGTGAGAAATAAATAGTACTCCGGAATGATTGATGATTTATTTTCTAATCTTTTAATACTTAAATCAAGTAATGAGTAACGACGAGAGATTATGTAAAATTATGTCATTCCCGTAGTTAATTATGAGAGGTTGGTTCAATGTGACAACAAAATTCAGACATTCAGAAAATTAATGGCAAAAATAACTTAATTTCTCCAGTAAGCAATGGCACAAAGGTGACTTTCACAGCAAAAAAATGCAACTCTATAACCCAACAAAAACCAATTCAATCAAGCCCGTGAAAAAAAAAAAAAAAAAAAAAAAAAACCTTATAAATATGATTAAAAGAATATGTAGGTATAAAAAGGCATCATGCTCCCGCGTGTATGATCTCAATTGTGGTGCATAAAACAATTCACAACTACACATTTATAACACAAAATGTAATCATAACTAAATAAGCACTTACAGAGATTGTAGAATCATGGGGTTGTGCAGAAATGGGAATAAGGTGTTGTAGAAGCACTTTCTGCCTGTTAATTGCCTTCTCCATCTCTCTCTCTCTAAATTTTCTCTCTTTTTCTTAATTCTTAATAAAATGTGATAATAATGTACTTGTGATAATAATTCTTATTGAATACCCAATTAATGCTCAATGCACATGTTGATAATAAACATGGCAAAAATGAAAATTGGTTATTATTGAAATGACCCACCAATAAATATATGAAATTTGGTGGGTAAAGATGAGTGAGCTTACTAGCACATTTTTCTAGTTTTTGTTGTTTTCTTTTTCAATTTTGGGAAATTAGGCGAAGTTTACAAAGAAATTGAGAAGAAAGTGTTGAGCAATTGATGTTGCAAAAAAAAGAGAGAAGATTGACGTTGACCCAATGAATCTGTTATTGAAGTTGGCAATCTGATGATTTCATGTTGTTGCTCAGATGAAAAGTTGGTGAATGTGAACATGAAGCTCTAGGATTGGTCAATTGGGGTCTTAATGAATTTGTTATTGAATGACAAACTTGTTTTTTTTGTCTTTTTAAAATAATTTGAACTTTTGATTTACTTTGAATAATTTTATGTTGGTGTTTGTTTTTTTAATGCAACACTAGTATTTGCCTAATTGGGTTTGGGTTATGCCCCCATCGTTACATAAAATTTGCAATAATACGTTTATTTCCCGACTCGATCTCTCTTAACTAAATTTTATTTCTCATATTGTCATTCACTACATTACGATATTTTGTTTGCAAAAATGAAAAATGAAGCAGATATCTTAATGGTCACACATGTAATATTAAATCTTGAGGTTGTGTGTTCAAATCTTTCATTTGGAACACTTGATAAAACATAGATACTTAAAAAGATTGAAAACTTTGTACCGAAATACTATTTACATACTCTATTCATCTCAATATACTTTATACATTAGCTTTTCATAATCTTTACTAAAGTATAATCAACATGTGCATTGAGCATTAATTGGTTCAACAAGTCAACTCATCTTTTAAATTTATTGTGTATTGACTCGGTGCTACATTATATCCTTAATTTAACAAACTATCTCACCGTTAAGAATTTTTTTTTTCTTTTTTTTTTTTTGCGCATAATTGAGACACCTCTAAAACCAAAGGAAGGCTAAATAGACACCTCTAAAACCGTTTCTAAGTATTATATTGAGATTTTTAAAAAAGTGAAGGCACAAAGCAAAATTTGATAAACATTGTGAAACCACTTTTTAAAATCCTTCATAAAAATTTAAAAAAGTGAAAATGGAGAAATGTATAAAATCTTCACGTTAGAATTGCTGTATTTCAATTCCATGGTTGGAGTACAAAAATTATCCGTAGTAAAATACACTGATTTTATAAAGGGCATACATTAGCTATAATGTAATGCCACCATTGATCATTACCTCAACTCAACGAGCTCATTAGAGCTTACTCCGCATAAGGTTTATATACAGATTTTTTTTCAGCAAAAATTTCATGGTAGACCAACCATTGTACGGCATAAGCCCGGCTATATACTGTGATCTTATATCAAAAGAATGAAAAAATATTGCCTAAACAGAAGTCACAGAAATATGCACAAAAGAAAAATTGGTAGGAAAATTACAGCATTAACAAAAAGTGAAGAGACAAAAGTTTTCCTTGCTTGATTCGCCAGATCTATCCTCTACCTGAGAGAGTTCTGAAACATATCGAAGCAATGTTAGAATTACTTAATGAGATAATATAATCAATCAATTAACGAAGAAAACATATTAAATGTACTTTTTCCTCTTACCTTGTATGTTCCTTTGATGGAAGAGCAGCAGACATAGAACGAAGCCTATTTGTAACCTCTGTAAATGTAGGTCTTGCATCAGGCTCAATTGACCAACATTGTTCCATCAAAGTCCTCCACTCAGGGTCACAGCGCTCTGGAATTGGTGGTCGGAGAGTGTTCTTTAAAATACCTCCTGCATTGAATTTCACCAAACAAGGCCCACAAGTATCAACCACAAAATTGGAGCGGGTAAAATGATGAAGAAAATAACAACTAAAAACAAAAAGAAAGCAAATATAAACAATATCAAATATTTGCCAATCAACGCTAAGCTAATAGTTTCTCAATAAGCTTATTGATTGATTCAGCAAACGAATCCAAAAATCTGCTTCAGAGCTTCAGGCTGGTATAATTTTCCATATGCACAATTGCATTTTTTAAAATATGTCTACATACTATTTCCAAACAGAAGTTACTACTTTATATGTCTCACTTCAAGGGTTCAGCAGCTTTGTCTTCATTAACCTACCATTTCCAAACAGAAGTTAGCCTCTAATTTTCTTATTCCTTTCAACTAATCGTAAAAAGGAAGTGATGGAAAAGTAACATATGAAGTGGAATGAAGAAGTAGCATCTAGGCAATGAAATAACTAATAATCTATTGGGTAACACTAGGCACACTTTTCAAAAATCAAAAGAAGTTATCTCATTTATCCTCTATAGGTTTCCTATTTTCTTCGCCCCACCCCGTGATGTTGCAATTTCTAGTTTGAACACCCCAAGCCAGTTGATTCAATTTCCTAAAGTCATTTAAATAATTATTATTATTATTAAAATATAATTATTATTATTGTTAATAGTAAATTACTAATAAAGGTTAAACCAATTCCAACTAATGACTTAATCACAAGTTCACCATCATATTGGCTCCACAATAACTGAATGACAAAAAGCATGCTGCCTTCAAAGCGATGCAGGACCTGGATCCTGAAATTACAATACTATATGGAAAAATTAAAAAAATATTAATACAAAAACTCTCTTTTGATGCAGATTACCAATAGCTCTCTGCAATGAGCATGCATAGGAAATGAAGATGCTTTAATAGCAATTTGGCCCCTAGAGACACTATGTCATTAGGTATGGAGAGAATATATGCCTTAAACAAATGAGACTAGAAGAAGCCAGGGACTTTACAAAGGTTTCGTTTTGCTGATAGAGGATGGAAGTAATACGACACAGACAAACTTATTTGTGCACTTGATGCCCCCAATTAGTCATATTGTACATCAGGTAGCCACATCTGCTAAAATGAAAAGAAAAAAAAATAACTTTTTTTATTTTCTTTATTGAGTGGGGGGTTCAAACAAGTGCATTATTAATCAAGGGACAAAATGTCCATAAATACACATGAGATCTCCAAAGGACAATGAGCCTTTTCATAAGTTAGTTCTAGGTATACTCCAGTTCTTTCCATATGCAATATAGTTTTTGAAAACTTTGAACAAAGAAGATTTGGAATTCAACCCTAAAATGGTGTAAATACATCAAAACAGAATCAAAAATTAATGTAAAATCAAAAACTTTGTCAAGAAAATTATGCTAATCTCTAACCAGGAATTGTTTACCTATGATTGCACCACAGTGCATGTTTGCATAGGGTTCCTCGCCAGTCAAGATCTCCCACATTGCAATGCCAAAGGAGAAGACATCAACCTGCCAATGCCCATGATATTCTCATCAATTAGCTTGAATTACATAATTTACAGGAAGGGAAAAAAAAAAAGGTGTTCCTCAACCTTCTCAGAAACCTTGGTGCTGCTGCCATTCAACAATTCTGGTGCCATCCATGGAAGTGTTCCCCGAACACCACCAGAAACCAATGTATTACGCTTGATCCTTGACAATCCAAAATCCCCAACCTACAGAATTGTTAATTAGTACACTGTTGGAATTTCCAAAGAAAAGTAATGGAGTATCATTTAGGGACTATCCAATATTCCCAACACCAAAAAAGTCAGATTCTACACGTTAAAAACAACTCCCCTGACCCCCCCCCTCCCTTTTTGATTGAAACTTTGTTCATTGGATAGTTGTCTTTACTTTCTTTGATTAATCTTTGGATGCTGTGTGCACAAGGCTGTTTGTAAACAGGTTTATTGTGCGGGTCATTCCAACCTACCAACATTGTGAACATGAACATGTTTCTAAACCAGAACCATTAGTATACATAATGTTTTAGCAGTGACATCATTTCAGACAAAAATGCGCTCCAAGGAGATATAAATTAAAAATGTTTCACATGTGGGCTTTAAAGAGCACAGAAAAGTTACACTCTCCTCATTTATCCCTTTCTTTCACTTCTTTTTGTGAGCATGGTGTTGTCATGTTAGCAATTAACCATTGGCATCTACAACCAAAAATAATATGTTCACCAACAATCTATGTTACTGCCACTTGGCATATTTGCTGCCACACCTATGTCAACATAACACAGAAAGCATACGGGTATTGATCAATACCCGACACTTGACCTTGTATGGACACTTCTAGCCACCAATCACAAATAAAGACGAGAGAGAGGGTGAGAGAGCAGAGAAGAGAGGCTTCTTTTCTAAGGAAAAATTATTTATTAATACTGCAAAAACTAAAGCACATTAAGAAGACAAGGTATCCTCAGATTGTAACAGGACAAAAACTACAGATAAGCCCAATTTGGTATCTCCCCTAAAAACCACCCCCAAAAACCCAGCTGCCTTAGCCCATAAAAAAGCTAACATGCCTAACAATTTTCATTGATTCCTCTGTAGCCAGATGCTCCACAAAATAACCATCACAGTATTACACCCAAGCAACTTCTTCTCCTTCTATCCACCAAACCCACAAAATGAATTACCATTCCTATACATTAAAATTTACCCAAGCCTCACCATACACTGTCAAAGCCTTCTCCAAAAATTAACAAGACCAAATGACAATAAAGAAAAAAATGTGAACATGACTCGCCATTAGCTCTGCAAAGCAAGCAAATGTAAAGTAATATTGAGGTTAAATTCGGATTGCTGATTGCTCAATTCGGGTTGAGTTCATGTCCGTTTGGGTCAAGTCAGTTTTGCCTAATGAGTCAAGTCAGTTCAGTCCTGTAGCTAACTAATCTACACTCCATTCCTTAATTTTCTACCTACTTACTACCCATGTAGTCAAAAAATAATTTTTTCGAAAAAAGACCTTATCACATTACTTATATACAAGAAAAAAACATTAGCATGTGAAATCTTAAAAGATTTGTCTTAGATTAAATTCTCAAGATATTTACTTTTCAAAATTTTCATAAGTATATAGATAAAGATATTTATAGTATAAAATGCACATTGGAGACTATCCAAAAGCCAAGTAGGTAGAACATTAAGGAACAGTGGGAATTAAACAATTTCAACGATAATAATAATTGGAGCTGGACAGTTTTGATTCAAGTTTCAAATATGGTTAGGTATGGGTTGGGTTATTCGGATCGGTTAATTTTATAAGGTTTTAATGAATCATTCAATCCTAGCCTCTGTTTTATAGTTAGTATTAATGCTTCCCACTAACATCCACATAAAAAAGTTCTCCCTTAAGAATGACCGTAGCCTTTTGAGGATTTTGCAAATGGAAAAAAAGGATAAAGGAGGATACTTCAGGGCGAGCCAAAACAATGAGAAAGACACAGGAGAGTGCAGAAATAGGTCTAATATTCAGGCATCAGATAAAGGAAACAGATAAAGATTCATGCATCAGAGAGAGAGAGAGAGAGAGAGGTCGTTTATTTAAAATAACATAATTACTCAAATTTAAATTACATCAGATAAAGGCTCTCCTGTCCAATATCCAGGGTTAACAAAAATTTGATTTCATTTGAGAAAGTTCATATAACTCTTAACAATTCAGAACCATGCGCAGTGTATTCTGTACTGTGCTCTTGTAATATACTGAGTTTCTAGCTTAGTATTTCTGATTTAAGAAGATAAATAAAAATGGAAGCTTGAAGTTTGATTGTTAATGTCAAAAGAGGTTACAAAATGATAAGTTAATAGCTTTAGACTATTACTCTCCTTGATAACTTTAGGTTATCACTCTCTTAGTAACTTGAGGTTACCATTCTCTCTCAATTTCTCAATACAAATCTCATGCCTTTCTACTGCTCTACTACTTCCCTTTTATAATCAAGCAAAACTACAAAAATAACCTAATATTAATATTGTTTTTCCTCTACTGCTCAAGAGATCAGAATTCAGTCCTATGTTGCCACACTCCCTAAGTCCCTAGTGCTTCTTTAATTAATTTTGTCTCCTAGTGTTGCTCCTTGTACCGGGTTCATTATTGTTCTACTAACAGCAATACTTGAAACAGCTATATTTTTTGGATAAATTCACATCTATAACAGATCATATACATAGTGCAGACTTTGTACC